TTGTTTTAAAAAATTACCTTGAATTTGAACCAAAAACTCCATATATGATAAAAAAAAATTATATTATAGGAATTCAAAAAAATATTGATATCTTCAGCCAAAATGTAAACATACTCTTGCCCTTTAAAAAAAAAAATTAGATGTTATCAGAGACTCGTAAAACAAAGAATTCTAATATCTAAAGAAGAATCGTGGAACCATTTTTGACGTCTATATCAGATTTGAGTGTATTATTTTTAAATGGTTATTCTCATAAAATACACGTCTCTTTACTTTTTGCAAGGTCAAAACAAAAATATATTTTAAGTTTTTGAAAGTAAATAAGCAATTTCTATTTTTCAAAGTTAATTTTTCAAGTGTGTAAAACGATTGGGTTTTGATATCCATGTGTATACTTATATAAATATACCCAAGATTTGTTAACGCCATTGATTTTCTTATTTGTTAAACTTATTCATATTTGTAAANCCCCCCCCCCCACCACGTGTGAATTATGTGCCAGCCTTCCAGCACGCCTAAATTAGGAAAAGTAAAGTACTGTAAAGGGTAAAGTAAAAGTTAAAAGTAAAGCAACAATATAAAAGCATGTGGTAAGGTAATCCCTTATTTAAGTTATTATTATTATTTTATTACCCTGCCCTTATTACTTATTATTAAAATAATTAAGGGCCAAGGCTTAACTTAAACTCACTTAAACTTAAGGTAAATTGGTAAGGCAATGAAAATTAAGCGCGATTAATTATTTCTAGTGATATAAAATTAAAACTTCCTCTTTACCTGATGGAACTAAAGGCGGTATACCACTAAAGGCCTAAAATAGCGTCTTTTTGTTCATGTACAATAACCATTTAACAAAATTGAACAAAATATATAAAAAAAAGTTCATGAATCTTTATTCATTTACGACTCCATTGTGGGAAAACAAGGAGAACTCTTCTGTCTTTAAAGATACGTTATAAAAGTTGCCCAATTGGATATATTTAGATTTAAATAATTTTAATTTTTTTAATAGATCTATCTACTTTGTCTGATATTTCTTTCTATCCCAATGGACCCATGCACAGCAATGTAAAGGTGGTACTCGCAAGGGACCTCAATATCAGGGGGCGCATTCGCCCAGGGTGCTGCTTTTCCTTTGCACTGTTGTGCATCCAATACGGACGTAACGCGGCTAGAATTTTGAGGGTGGGGGTTATGTGGGAAATATTTGTTAAAACTTTAAATAAAATTGTCAATTTCCTTTCTTAAAATTTGTGACATTTTCGATTTCTTTCTCAATAAATAGCTGGTGATTTACTAAGACTAAGAGGCAAAAAGCGGGAAAGTAATGAAATATATGTCAGCAGTAGCGAAATAAACACCATTGCAAACAGATGACTAACAAAGCAACTTGGTTCCATCCAGATACATAAAATCACTAACACTGCCTCTCATTTTACTCACCACAAACCAGAGTCAACTTAGGTGGCATCTAAATAATTAAGTGCCATCTATCAAACTAGAGCTGACCAACCACAGACCATTTAAATAGCTTATTTGCCTAATATGACTCACACTTGTCGAGAAAAAGTCAATCCACTTGCATAGGAAGGGGGCTGTGGAGGGAGTGGTCCACACAGGTGCCACTTTTTTTTTTTTAATTTATTAATGAGGGGCGGCATTTTCGGCGAGCTGAAGAGTTGGTGGCACAACTTTCTAGTTAACATATCGCAACATAACCCCTGGTCCGCTCGAAACGTTTCCCAGATCTGCTCATTATGAGGACACGTTACACATCACCCAACGCTCTGTTGGTGGAATTCTATTACGTAGCCGAGGCTCTCGCTTTGCACTTTTTTTGCCCATGCACCGTTTCCCTTGTCTGGCCTGCTGATTACCAAAGTCTTTCTCTGATACACTAAAGTAATGCGTGTGCATAGCTAGAGCGACTCGGCCTCCACGGCCTTGCCGTGTAAGTTTAGTAAGGCTGTGGGCAGCAACGCAGTCGCCGCGGCTTACCCGTGTATAGGTTTACTTTAAGCAGATTTCTGATCGTTAATGCTGCATAAACTTTATGGTTTGTGTCCGCTGCGGTGGCCGCGCAAATGAACGCAGGACAAGTAAACCCACAACTCACCATAACACCTCCAAACACAGGACTAGGGTACCAACGGACAAGTTAACACGCAGAAAAGTGAATACCAGTATATAGAACATAGACAGCTGAACCCAACAACTGGGTTTGAAAAGGCCTTGCTGAAATAATCGTCATTCTTGACTTGTTCTTGTAAATTTATTTTCACTGGTAATTCGCAATGATTGGTTCCGAAAGATTTCAGCTAGATCTACTTTTATAAATATGTAAATGTTTTTAATGTGCTGAAAATTATTTTACAAAATTGTGTAAATAACCATTTTTATTATATTTCTTGGGCAGATTTTTGTTTCCTAAACTGTGTCTATTGATTTCTTATTAAAAAAATTAACACGTTCTACAATATTGTTTAACATTTGTAAAAATATCTAGAAAATTCTTATCTTTTATGATAATTTCACATTGATATGCTTTAAATTTCATTTTATTTGACTCCTATATTTCTAATATTGCTTAATTGAATTTTTTTCTTTTTTTTTAAGTGGTCCACATAGGATTTTCCATTTATCTCTGACGTCAAATATATTATGAGGAAAAGTATTATTACCACATGCTTCAAAATTTGCAAGGTTTTTTCTATTATATTCTCTACATAATGATTGATGATTTTTTTATTACATGTCTCATAAACAAAATTCCGAAGTTTTTATGATCTTATTATTTTTATTAGGCTCGAGGCTAGTGGGTTGTTATCAATTATATATCTATGTACTTAAATTGTTTTTTTTTAATTAACGAGAGGAATGTGTTCATGATGTATGCATCCAATGTTGTTCAAGTAACCTTTAATATTTTTAATAACATTTGTCAGTGTCTTTTTCAGCTTTTATCGATATAGCATTTTCATTTTTTTTCTAAAGTCAATTGATGAATCAGGAGGAATAGTTTTGGAACTACATAATTGAAACTTTGCATGCTTATTTATATTTATATTCTCTACTTAATGATGGATGGTTTTTAAACAAATATCTCATAGGAAAATTTTTCAGAATTTTTTTATTTATGTATTTTTTTTATTAGGTTCGTGTGTTAATTTTTGTTTTATATCTTTTCAGTCTTAGTTTTCTAACTGTCTTTTAATTCATGAATGATATATGTACATGGTGTATGCATCCTATATCGTTCATGCAGCCCTCTAATTTAAAAAAAACACAATTTTATACTTTTTTTTTCATTTATCTCAATTTTGCATTTTCCGGATTTCTTAGGAACGCCAAATGAATTGGGAGGAAAGTATTCTAGCTACAGCCTTCAAACATTGCATGCTTCTTTTCATTGATATTCTTTACAAAATTCAAGAGGCTTTTTTTTTTTATATACCCGGTACCGGCTATATCCAACTAGAAAAGCTTTATAACTTATAACATTTTTACATTTGCTACTCCTGAAGAGTTCTTGAATATTTATGTGACCCCCACATACATGCCTTTTGTAACAATTCCAATAACTGCTGTCTAATAAGCTTCTTTAAACTTTATGTCAATGTTATTCTTAATGTGTATGCCAAGTTTCATTTAAAATACAGTACAATAAGTTACAATACAATGCAATACAAATTTGTCTTTATTCATTTTGCGTAAAAGTCAAAATTGGTATAAAATGTTTAATTTTTTGCAATAAAAGTCACAACAAATTTTTAAAAAATAAACTTTAGTGGATTTTTGTCTTTCTGTTTGTGTATGGTTTGTATGTACTATATTTTTTTCAATGGCTCTATTTATTTAGGTTATCAGTATTTTATTTTCAATGTGGCATGACTTAGTTGCCTTGAAACCAAACTCCCTTCACAGATCACATATATTTGCTCCCACTCAATCATTACATCTGTACTTAAATGAAGAAATGATACAAACAATAGTTAACTGTA